TTAATGAATTGACTTGAAACATCATTGCTTTGTGTTTCCTGATGCCCTCTGGATCTTTCCTATTGTATTTACTAATGATCATTCTATTTTTACAGGAATGGTCTTCATGTAGATTTTTGTCCTTAGTAGAACTGAGTGAATTTACTCCGGTTCACGCTCTCCAGTCTCTCCCAAGTGAGGTAGTAATGTTTGAAATCATTGCTCCTAAGTGCTGTGTAGTAGTCCATGGAGTGATAGAACCACCATTTCTCAGTCCGTTCCATTCCGGTTGGACATTTGGACTGTTGTAAATCACGCTGAACGTGAGTGCACACGTCTCCAGTTGTGTCCCGGTTTTGAGTTCCTTGAGCTTTATTCCTGGCAGTGAAATCTCTGCGTCGTATGGCAGTCCTGGGTTCAGCTTTTGGAAGAAATGCCGTGCTGCCTTTCAGAGGGCTCTTTGCATTCTGCAATCCCATCAACAGTGTGTCAGCGTTCCTGTCTGTCCCACGTCCTCTCTGACAAGGAGTGGACAAGCTTGGTGGAACCGTCAAGTGACATGATGATCACTTTTAACCATCCCGTTCGCTGCAGTAATGAGAGGACCCCACCTCTGACTTCTCTCAGGGTTTTCTGTTCAGTGCTGTGTTCTTCAAATCTGGTATCAGCTGGGGGAGTTTTTAGGTGATAAACTGTTTTCTTCTGTTAACTGTTTCCTATACATGCTTATTTTCCGGTTCCTAATTTTTAAATTTGTTAAGTGACCTTAGCTCTTTCTTCTCATTCCTTCTTGGTTTTCTCAGTCTATTAAGAGACCACCTTTTGTCTTTCTCGCATTTCAATTCTCTCCATATGTTATTTTCTTTAAATTTTTTCTATTCTGTAAGTTTTGATGGTTAGTTTACTTGTTTTCTTCCCCACCCCCCATCTCTTTTCTTATTTCCATGGCTTTGTCCTTACAGTTAATGAACTTGTGCGTGTTAAAGAGTTGAAGGTGCTATGCTGATCCAGAATGCGTGTTGTTTTAGGAATCCATGGTCGTGGAAGAGGTGGCCGTGGTCTTTACTCCAGAGGAATGGACGTCACTGGACGGCACACAGAAAAAGCTCTATAAGGATGTCATGGTGGAAACCTTCAGAAACCTGGCCTTTGTCGGTAAGAATGGCATTTTATTTTCCATTCCATTTTGGTGGGGTTTTTTTGTTGT